GCTACTAAGTCCCGTTTATATTTTGGCAGAAGCTCATTGTCCATTAATTCCTTTGGCAATTCTGATACAGTTTGAGCATTTTGAGCCGTAGTAGTCTCCACTAAAATAAATACTTTAAGTAAAAATGTAAATACACAAAGAAAACTTATTTTCATTTAAAAGCAATTACAATGTGTTTTAACAAATAAAATTCCCCAAAAATGGAAAGGCATTCTGCTGAAATAAGACTGATTAATAACAGGAACTAACCATCAAACAGATACTTATATAGAGATAAGATAAAATTGTATAATGCACAAATATGTTTTTGTTTTGTTTCTATATAGCATTAAATAGATTAACTTGTTTATAATTTAAACAATGCTGATAATATTAATATATCCTATGTTTTATGTTTAGAAACATATTTTATATTCATATTTTAGATTTATCTTTATAAATAACCATAATATTATCAAAATATGAATTATGAAACTTACAAGTTGGTGAATTATTATTACTTCCATTTTCTGTTCTTGGTCTTTGTTGAACTATATTGCATTGAATACTTGGTGATGCAGGTACCTCTACTTCTGCAGATTCACCTGCGGCTGCAGCTGAATTATTTGAACTACTCGTCGTTTGATTAGTTGTACTGTTTTGTCGCCTACTACCATAAAAATTTTATAAATGAAATTGTTTGTATCTTATTAAAATCTGAAATGCTTTTATTTACTAGTAACTTACTTTAATAAATTGCTTATGATCTGACTGGATAATCTAGGATCAGTAAATTGTGTAGTTCTGTTATTGTGATCTACAAAATAAACACGACCACTTAGAGTTTGTCGCATTTCCCATCCGCTCGGTAATGGTCCAAGTTCATTTGCCAATTCATTCGCTGGTAAATCGCGAGGTATTCTAGGATCATGCCAAGTAGATGAACCCGTTGGTACATGATAAAAATACACTTGACCTTGTTGTGTTTTCCTCATTTCTATAAAATATTCATTTATTTTTAAACTTTTTACTCGATTTATATATTTATTTTTCTACTCATAATATTTTTTAAAATTGACATTCACCATAGCCTCTCGGTAAATCTGGTGGTTGCGGAGGATCGTATCTCCTTTCGTTATTAACCATTAAGCTGTTTCTATTTCGATTACTTCGATTAGGCCTTCGTGGTTGAGCACTGTTAATGCTGCGATCTGGCCTAACGTTTCCATTCTGATTGCCATTTTGTTCATCACTTACTCGTACTGGTCGTCGTTCCCTTGACGATGCAGGGGTTGCATTTCTCGTATTATGTTGATTTTGTTGATTTCTGTTTTGTTGTTGGGTTGGTGTATTTCTTGGTGTATTTGGAGCAGAACTATCTCTACTAGGTGTCCTGCTAGGTGTTCCATCTCCATTCCATTCAGGTGTACATCTAGTAGGACTTTCAGCTCTTAAATTGGGAGGACTACCACTGCCGCTAGGAGATGTAGGTTCAGAAGAAGGTAATGGTGGTGGTTCAGGTGTAGTTGGTATTATACCGTTGGTGGGTCTATTATAATCATTAAACTATATGTAAGTTAATTTTGCATTGAAAAATTTACCATTTTTTAAGAAGCAGAAATTTACCGTGCATTTGGACGAATCCACTGTGTACTTCTGGTATAGTGATTAACATAATAAAGTCGTCCACTTCGAGTCCTTCTCTCTTCCCATCCATCTGGTAAATCAGTTGGACAACTCAAATCCCCAAGAACATCAACAACAGCATTATGACCCACTGTATTACTCACAGCACCATTGTGACCATCTCGTGATAAAAGAGATACTACAACTTCTCCTTTAACTACATCTGTATCATCTGAATGTGCTTTACAAAGATCTAATCGTTGATCTATAAAATAATTAAGTTGAAAAAAATTGATATGAAACTAATACTAAGAATTATACGATACTACAGAAAATAGTAATTACATCCTGTATCCTTGAGTCTTTGAATTGTATTAGATAATATTCGTACACATCCTAAAAATCCACCACCTTTCTTTTTATGAATTTTTTTATGATTCCAAACTGATATAGTAATGCCATCATCTTTCCCAATGTACCTACAGAATATTGGATATTTATATATTTGCTACATAGAAATTTGTTATGTATCATAATTGAAGAATAATTACAGGTCATAATGTTGATTCCACATAGGATCTAGCGTTGCTTTGCATGTGTGTGTACTATGACACTGACCTGAACCATCAACAGTTATTTTAGCAAAAGGATCCGGTAGTCCTGTAATAAATTTATTTATTTAATAAGACAATAATTTTTACGATTTCTTAATTTTTTAATTAAAAAGTACTCACGAAACAGATCTTTCCTGGCAAGATTACGGGCACATAAAACTGCAAAATTTATATAAAAAATATATAAGTTCATTTTAAATAAATATATTTCAATAGTCTGGATGATAATGATCCATAGGATAATACAATTAATAAAAAAATAATTTAAATAAAATATTCATTTATAAATACATTTACTTAGTATCTTATAAAAGATAACATCATAATATATAAAAATATTAATCTTATTTAATATCTTTGACACTGACCTATTAATTTAATCATTTGACACTTGTATGATGCACAATATTATTGAATAATAATAAATAATTCAACTAATTTAAGAAGGATTAGTAAACAATTTTTATTATAAATGTTGCACAATGAAACTATTCATAAATTGACATATTTACAATTGGCTTTATAGTAACAAAATAATAATCATACATTCGTTTAACGAATACTAAAGCTGTGCATCAGTACTAAGCGTCTGACATTTGTTAATTAGGCCTATTCACATCCGATTATAAGCTTGGCAATATTCTTCATTGAATCAATCAACAAAGAACGATTCCGAAATAAAAAAATGCTCGTAATATATCAAGTTCCTCGAAATGTGTTAAGTATTGAGAGAGAAACAAAGCGGGTGTAATAAGTTCACCAAAATTAACGTCTTCAGTCTACGGTCTCCCGGAGTGCTCACGGTGGGGTCTTGACCTCCGATAGGGAGTTGCCATAACCAAAGGACGAAAACCCTAGTCGAATCTTTTTGCGTATTTTTCTCTTATACCATTCAAGCAATACACAATATTCGTAACGTCGATTCTGATGTTACTTAAAAGTTGCCTATCTTAATGATTACAACAAGACCATATTAACGAACACATAACAAATGAAGGCACGGAAAGGATCACAACGCGTGTTGGCTATCGGCCGACTTTCACACTCCTCTCTTGGTAGATTCATCGTAATTTCTTAATAAACTCACTCGTCAAACGAATCTTCATGGCCCCGTTCCTCCTGCTGCCGCCAGGATACGACATTTTCACGCACATTTAACGCTTCTTACCGCACATCGGCACTCTAATTAGTAAATAAAACTGCTGCTCGAAGCGGCGGTGCAATCCGCACACACGCAACCATGCACGATCGACTATTGCAGCTGATCGACCTTACCGACCATATCGAACTCAAGTCCCTGTCTCGACTCATATCTCTCGAAACATATCGAAAACAACTACGACTTGTTAGACAGTTACACTAAAAGTAAGTTTTAATCTAAATTTTCTTTTATTTTATATTACATATTTCAACAATTTTTTATTTGTTACATTTATATGTAAAACTTTATACCCGAACATAAGTCAAATGTTTGTATTTATAAAACTATTTTCCACACGATATATCGTTCAATTTTTCAAAAAGTATTTAACGAAATTTAAATTTTAATCATATTTATGCAATCTTTTAATATACGTTATGTAATATCGTAATTATCACAAATGATTATTAAATAAGCTTGCAAACTTTTCGTTTATTTAAGCAAAAGTTTATGACATGATAACACGTGTGTAATATTTAAACAAAAATATATGCTTAACATACGGTAAATGAACTTAGTATAAGGATGAGTAAAATAAACATGGATCATATTTATTAAAGATTTACATTTCTTGACGTCATTAAAAACCTATAAATTAATGAAAAAGAAAATGGAACGAACGTCAGTGAGAATTGTTATAAAATAATAACGTTTACAGAAAGAACCGATGTTAAAAAATGTATTAACAGTACAAAATAATAGAGGAAGAGAATTATATCAATATGCTTAACCAACTTATACTACATGTAGCGCGTGATCGTAGCTTAATTTATGTGTAACAATCACGATTACAGCTTTCACTGGCCTTATATTAGAAAGGGACTACCGCTTATTCTAGAAAAATATTTAACTACACTTTCGACGTTCTAAACTTGAATTTGAAAAGAGTATAAATAAATATTATCCACGCTTTCTCGTTTGATATAAATTCGTTGGGACAGTTTTATGGTAATAAATATTAAAAACGGAAAACAAATTCTTTCCTAAACAAATATGGTGAATCACAAAATTATTCGAACGTTTTGCAAACGAAAATGTTATGAATTCTATATAATAGTAAAACGAAAAATTTTATAAATTTGTTATTATAATAAATCATAATTATTAGATATATGTTACAAAATTTGAAGAAAAATCAATGGTAAATGAAATTATTATTTGAATATTAAAATTAATCTTAACTTTAAACATTAAAAATTAGTAATGAACGTAATTCGATTAAATATAAAACTGAGTCTTAACGATATAGTAAGAGTTTATATTTTCTTCAAATTTTGCAATATGATACTTATATAAATCTGCTTAATGTAGTATTTGGCTTTAAGCGTTCATAAATACATTTAGGGATTTATATATAGTACATACCATCACAACTTACAGTTTCTCATCTCTAACGCAAATTTACCGTAGAAAAATATTCTATTGTCACAATACAAGAAGACTCTCTTTTAAGTCAAACTTTTGTTCTAGCAAGTAAAATGCTAAAAGACATTTGTTTGCTCAGAATGCTACTTCTATTTGTACTTCATTTTCTATTTAACAATTTTCTTTTCGTAAATTTAATCGATGTTTTTTCCCCGTTTTTTCTTCGTTTTTAAGAAAAGTTTTAAAGATTTTTTCGTGAGAACCAAATCGATTCGATCTTTGGCAACAGTTTATCGATGAAATTTTCGTTCGTGTCGTATCACGAGGTGTAATTGAATTCTTAAGAATCGATGATTACGTGGTCCCTGATATTACTTAATGACTATTCTGTATTTTAGGCATTCCCTCGGAACGAAAATACTGCATCCAAAAGGAACAAGACTCCCTCGACGAGACTGATACATCCTTTGGCGATACCGGTATTGCGGAACGAGCCATGGTAGACCGAATTTGTGAAGTGGTCGAGGATTAAGGCACCGGAGATAACGAACAGGACCAGACCAACCACAGAAAAGAACATGTCCTGTAAATTAACAACGATGTCAAGATATTTTTGTAATTTCTGACAAATATGAATTATAATTCTTATGATTTATATAATTGTTATATAACTTCCAATTGTTATTATTTATATCTGTTAAGCTATTCTATACAAATACAGTGCATACATGGAATAATAAGACAGAAATGAGAAATAGTTTATATCGAGAGAAAAAGACAAGAATGTTTTCTTTCTGAAGAATATTATAGTAAGTTGGTAAGATTTTATGTAATAGAATTTTTTATGTCGATTGAGTGATGCGAATAGTACTGTTCAGTGTAATTTCTTCTTAAACATTTCGTGATTTTTTGAAATATTTCATGGTAAATGAAATGTCTCGTTATTTCTATTTATTTTTAATTATTTCTGATTTAACTTTGGATAATACTCGATGGGTTGTTTAAACTTACACTTGAATATTTTGTAAATTTATAAAGTATTACAAAGGTAATTTCAACCTGTAGCTAAGTATTTTAAAATCTGTATAATGCATAAAATAGCCATGCACTTGATAGATTATCTTAATTTATATGTAAAGACTATGTTCAGGCTACATGATGGTAAGAAAGAAATTTCATAAATTATTTCAGTTTATTCTTTAATCACGTTCAAGCTTACAAGATACCACAATATTTGTGTTAATGTAAGATAGCCTTTCAACCACTGCAAGTGGATTATTATCATTTTACCTAATAATCCAACGCCCACTAATGTCGCAATATTAATTGATATGAAAATGTTACGAAAGACTTAACGATATAAGTATCTCAGACGTTGGATGTTACTGGCTTGGAGGAAAAATTTATGGAAAAATAAAACGCGAGTACAGAGACCTTGTATAAGTATCATTTTTATAAATTTTTGTCAGCACGAAGGATCTCATTAAACGTAATTTTTACTTACCAAACGACGATCTATGGCAGTTCCAAGGATAATTCCAATGACTATACCCGCCAGGATAATTAAGTATCCTCCAAAGGTACCCATCGTGATCATCGCACTGTTTATACCTGCATCGGTAAAAGAGTGATAGTGCATTCCTATGAGGACACACACTAGTACCTGAAAATGATGGATAAAGTATTCAACTTTTATTAAAAATAATATAATCAATCAGAGCTTAAAAAGGGAAGACAGAAAAATGAAAATCTACTGTGTAAGTAATATATTTCCTATGACTAAGTATTATTTCATGCACTACTTACACAGTTAGGTTCTTAAACTATCAATAAACTATTAATTAAGCTATTATTTATTAATTTCAGCTGTTAATCAAACTAATCCCTGAACTATTAATTAAACGACGAGTCTTTAAACTGTATACATTTATATAAGTGGATAACTGTACAGGATCTTGCGAAAGGCTATAGATTCCAATTTGTATGCGATTACAACGCTGTTCGTAATCGGTATTAGGAAATAGAGACAGAATGTAAAATGCGTATATGCGGTTATAAGCAGTTCTGTTACAAGGGAATGACAAATTTGCGAAAGTGGGCCAGCAGTGAAACAAGTACACCGACTTCATCAATGCCAACATAAATAACACATTAGAATCCATCGATTATGTTCCGGTTAAGAAATTAATTCGATTCCAAGGAAATGAATTTTTAACACAAATCTGTGTATCCTGATAAATGTTCGAAAATAGGCCAACGCAATGAGTGCACCGAATCCATCAATGGCGCCATAACTAACTCATTAGAACTCAACGATTGCGTCCCAGTTAAAATGACAATTTTATTTGAAGAATGCGAATATTTAACATGGAACCTATGCATTGTGGTAATTTCATGAATTTTTAACGCAAATCTGTGTATGGTGATAAATGTTTGGAAATAGGCCAGCGCAACGAGTGCATCAAATCCATCAATGACACCATAAGTAACTTATTAGAACTCAACGATTGCGTTCCAGTTAAGATGACAATTTTACTTGAAGACTGCGAATATTTAACAAGAAACTTGTGCAACGTGGTAAATTTATAAAAGTGGACCAACGAAACAAGTGCATCAACTCTATATCACTATAAATAACCCATTAGTACTCAACGATTATGCTGCAGTTAGGAAGTAATGCTGTTTCATGTATGTCAATTTTGAACAAGAATCCAATCGTCGTGGATGGACTCACGAATAAAACTTCTTGTAGAAAGTATCCTTTCGTTACTCTTAATGTAACATTCATAACGCGTTATGAGCGTTACTCACCTCATCGTGATGCGTAGTGCATTAATTAATTGCATAGTAACATTACGTCATACACTCAGTTTGTACTATCTGATTTGAAAGGAATTCCTGGCACCTCTGTTTTTGATATGATAATGACTCAGTCTTTATCTTACAGGAGTTTAATTTCTGATTATACATTGATAGCTAAAATAACTGGAAAACAATCATTAATCTTGTACATTTTCATTGACTTCTCTATTTCAAGTCTATTATTGAATTAGTGATAGAAAACAAATGTATAGTTAACTTTAGAACTAACAAACCAATTAGGACGTCTCCTTTAAGACTTTTTGTTCTTCTTGTGACTTAAAATATGTTGCTTTTAGCTAAATTATACGTTGATTCTTATTAACAAATTGGCGTTTTCTATTCAATTAAATAAAATATTACTGTATATGGGATGGGCGAATTGATCGAGCGTTTGTCTTACAATTAGCGAGTGGTAGGTGTATGAATGGTGTAGTAGAGCATCGAATGACTGTTGGGTGCGTCTGATAAGTGATCTGAAGGGTAGGAATGTGGATAGGGTAAAAATGCTATTATTAAATAATCAATACTGAGCGAAGGACGAACAATTTCGGGAAACCCTTCGAGGGTTTAGCAATGCGTAGTATGAATGGGTATAAAAGAAATATTGAATGATGCGAGAGTCAGAGTTAGAATGAGAGTCCAAATACAAGTGTGTCAAGACGATTCTGCATAAGCGTTGGTCGAGTAGTAATCTGAATTTTCATAATAAATATCGTCATGTTGAAAGAGTTTGTCACTCCTCTGTGAATGCAAATCCTTCACACATTTAATTATAGTTATTTAATAAATTTCATTAGGCTTTTTATTAGGAACCAGATGATGCAAAAATATATAATTGTTTTCGCGTATCTATCTTAAAATTAATTAAAATAAATACCAATATACCAATTGTATATTTTTTCAACTTTTTCTTATCTCTTGATTACTGTAACTGTGTATACATTAGAGCGATATGGTAGAAATTCAACACTAACAATAAGTTCCTTTTTTCAGAATGCAATCAGAGACAACAGACATCCCTATCTCTATTATAATAAGATATCCTATTTTATTTAATAACTTTTTGTATGGTCTCTACAACAGTCGTATGTTTGTCTCGATCGCAAATGCTTTCCCATGATCAAATCGTAGAAATTTGATAATATTTTGATAAAAATTCGTAATTTACCATGTACCTCAAAATTTTCTTGAAAAATACTATTTATTTTAAAACTTATAGCAGTTTTTTTCTGACCTAACGCGAAATCTTCCTGAATCCACGTAAACTGCGGATCTAAACGCCCCTACGCCAATGTGTTAAGATAGGAATGTAATTACTATTCCTATTGTAACTCTAATTATATTATTTCTATAGTGTGTTTGCGATATAACGAATCGACAGTTGCAATACCGAGCACTGCAGTATGGATAGTTGCATTTTCCAACTACGAATTAAATATCAAAATATCAAAATATAAAATATAAATATAAAAATATCAAAATTGACACGATTCATCGTAAGCGTGTCCCAGAAATCTCAATGGAAACTTGGATAACGATGGATTTCCGGCGCGAGAGGCGATCATAACAGGAAGGTAATCTCGCGCACGATGATCTTCGACTATTATGTCATTTTCTGTTATGCTTGACCAATGAAACAGATCTTTAGAAGTCTCAACGAGATTTCAACGTTTAACCCCTATGGAGACTACAATTGGTTGATTTGCGAGAGTCGTGAAAAGGTGTGAGATGGAAGCAACCTGTGTAAAATTATCTCTGAACCACACTAAGAAGATCCACGACAGATATACGTTTAGTGTACACATAAACGAATCGATGAGAATATTGTCAATTAAGAATATTGAATATTAATTATAATATTAATTAATTATTATGATATTTAAATGAAAAATAGTTCATTAAAAGATAGTCTATTGAAGATATATCAAAGGACTATCCAAATATCAAAGATTTTAATTTAAAATACCACTATACTTGATCGAATTATGTTAGAAATTTACTTAATATTTTAATTAGCTTGATTATTTTAAACGTTTATGTACTTTTCGTGCTCAAAAATTCTTGAGACTATATAACGATTCTGATACATAAATGATAAGATTTTTAAAAAATTTGGAAATTGATCTACTTACCAATTCCAAGATCTTGATAATAGTGGCTTTGTTCAACGCCATTTTGACTTATCTGTAAACGAGAAACGTTAGATTAGAGATCTGAATAAACTATTCTATACTAGACTAAATGGTAACATTAAATTACTTTAAAAGACTCGAAAGATATATTCGTGTAATTATACGTAACTTATGTACATACATATATAAAATTTTTAACATAATATTCAATACGAATTCAATTTATTTCCAAGTAAAATTCTATTAAAATAAAATAAAATAAAATTCGAAGTAAATTTACTCGAAGAAATAAAATACAGCAAGAAATTAAATTTCATTTTAAAGTTTACAAAAATATTTAGTACCTCTCAGCTCCAAAATTCAAAACCTAAAGTGACAATAAGTCAATCAGAGAGATGGAGCAATGGATCAATTTCTAATTAATCACGCACTTACATACAATATTGACGATTACGTGATAATTCTTTATATTATTAACCAATAAATTAATTGATCGTGCCGTTCGTAGTACAATTTCTATTAGCGATAATTTATAAATACTCTCGAATCATTGAAATCAATTTCAGATGAAAGAAGCAAACATATGAAGTATAGTTGGAAGTTATCGCAATACTACTATTAATAGAAAGGAAATTTCTGACCAATCAAGAGCACGTGGGTGTTTAATAATCGCCATAACTCATTAACCAGGCTTACATGCATCGCGTTAATTTTCCACAGTGTTAATCAATCGTTTCGTATCGCTAATGCACGATGTTTACTCATGAGTGTCAAAAACGTTCGCTGTGTATCGTATAGGAATTTTTTGTAATCTATTCGAATAAGAAAAAAAAGAAATTTGCAAATCAATTCGCTGATTTCGTCTGACGCCTTTCTAGAATGTAAATAGCGAGCAATTGGTTGCAGCGTTATTGTGTACCATGTTATTCATGCAAATCGAATAGCTAACACAGGACCTTGACGCAACATATTCTCTGATATTTTATTCTCATTGTCGTATTTCCTTGATAAATTTCGCTGATGCATACTACTAACGCTTGCAAAGTTTATCACGACTTCAACAAACAAAGTTCGAAATTAGCGATTCAATGGTTTTGCAAAATTTATTATTAGTTTCAGCAGTTACTAACCTCAATTTTTAACGATTAACGGAAATACTGTATTAATCCTTTGCACTCGACGATTTGTTGGCTAGAGAAGAGTAGAAATTCAAAGATTCTCTACTAAAATACCGACGATACCTTTTTGAGCAGTAAATATAGAATTGTATAATAGTAGAATTGTAGAATTATTTGATTTCGATACCTCGCACACTATTACATTAAATTTGATATAATAATTAATATCGATCTTGCAAATTTTATGAAAAGGTGACTGAAAGTCACCTCTCGAGTACAAAGGGTTAAAATATTTACTTAGAATACTAAAACACCTAACTCTTTGAATACTGAAACACCTAATTCTTTGCACTCGAAGGCCGAGTTTTATTGACACCGCCATCTTTGATGTCGCAACTAAAACAGCGAGTATATTGATAACAAAATATTGGAATAAAATAGTTCTACACGTTGATTTATATATAGTGCAAGGATATAATAATATATTTTCGTTAACATGTATTTCGAAACAATTTGAATCGTATGCTCGTAAGGTGTTGGGTCAGTAGAACGAGCGTCCATTTATGGTGTCCATGTGAGGCCAAAAATGGACATAACGAAGCCTGACAAATATGTCAACACTTAACTGGTATCTTTATAGTGTCGTTAAGCCAATCGTATTACGTGGAGTTTTTCTAAAAATTGTTTCGTCTATACAGTTATTGATATTAAAAGGAGAAAACAGAATAAAGGAAAACTCGTTGATATGAAGCTAGAATTAAATGACTTGGCAGAAAGGTAGTACGAACCACATATTTTTTAAAGATCAGATAAACACAGGAAACGGTAATAACATCCATATTTTTCTGGAGGATGTTATTATTAAATGTCATTAAGTTTCCAAGCATTTATAAATACGTACAAGGAATGTTTGTATTACAGATCTCTGTATTGAAATTCTCTGTTGGAATATGTTCTCTGTTAAAAACAGCTAGTTCTCTAAAATCAAAGATCTTGTCACGTGCATCATGTTTCATCTTCACGTTTCATCCTCGACTCGAGTTTCTCGATTTCTGGAGAACTGTATTTTTAGATGTAAGCATGCTTACATTTTTAGAAATTCTACATCAAGTTAGAAGCTTTATACCAATTTAATTGGAACTTTTTCAGTCGATATCCTGAAACGTCTACTGGCGGTTTACGAAAAAGCTATTTAATAGTTTATGTCGTTGGTCACGAAATTTCGTGGAAATTTACCAAATCTACCAAAACAGAAAAAGGCAAATCGTTAGGCTGAAGCACGTATTAAATATTCAAAGAGCTTAATTTGCAAGGTGTTTTGTTGTATCGAGAGAAAACAAGAAAAACAGGAAATGGAAAATCAGTGATGTACGAGTCATGCAACATTCAATGCTGAAAAGAAAGTTACACTTTCTCTTCTTCTGTGACTGGCCTTGACTCAACATTTTGACACTTCTTTATGTAATTTTCTCTTTTAATATTTCATATTTTGTTCAAATTCAAATATTGAAATATATATTAATTTTCTAAGATATAATTTTGTTCTAATCATTCTTCATTTCAAGCTCATTTTTACTTCACTTTGATATTTAGTATTTTATCCAAGTAAAGTATATATTAGAATATAAATTGATTCTTGAAGCACCTTCCTTGTAATTTTCTATCTAGAACTTATTTTTTCATCACTTCTCTACTTAGTGTTTCATTTAAAAATATAAAACGTTAAGTAGTACAAATAATTTTCATATTAATATATTTTAATTGCCATATTTTATGATTATTTTAATAAGATTACTGTAACAAAACTGGTTTATAAATTAATTCAAAGACATACTTTAAAAGAGAAGATATATACATAATTAAGGATGATTTACACATGTATGCAAATAAGTCCGATTAGGACTCCCCCGTACACTTCTTCGTACTCCATTTATGCCAAATTCACGCGTTATGGCTTCATATTTGAAAGTGTAATTGACACTGTCTCGCTAAAAATAAGTCTTGTTTCATTCAGGCACCGATAACGCTCTTGCATTTTACGAGCGTGATGTGTAGAGATGTTAGAATTCCTAATAAAATTGTATTTATTTATATATGTGAAACTGAACATCTTGAATATATATTTAACTTTAATTTAATAAGCAAATATTTCATTAGTACAATTCTGAAATAAACCGACTAATTGTGTAAATAAACTTATGTACAAGCATTGTAAATTTAAAGTAGAATATATTATGCTATATACTTTCAACTTCTAATTAATGTATACTTTTAAACTCTTTTAAATTGAATATTTACTTTTCTGAAACGTTTAGAATACGAAAGGTAATTGATGGATCAATAAAATATGTTTTTTAAACCGATACATGGAATAAGCCTTAAACAACAATAAAAATTATAGTTCAGTTGTACACTAATTACAACTTTTGTGAAATACTTATAATTACTTTACTTGGGAAAGATTGATAGAACAAAGTTCAAAAAGCTTAAACTAATTTAGAAATCTTAAGATAAAAGTGGATCAAGTTTACAGTACTTAAAAAAAGGAATTTTTATTTGTTATACACTAACAAAGGTAAATTTTTAACCGATTATAACTTAAATTATTTTATTGTAATTTAATTAATAATATCCTTTTGTTTTCAACGCTTATGACACTGTACATTCTCTGACAAACCTTTCCATAATTTTCTCTTTTCCATTAATTTAATATTAATCCCTATAAGCTAATTTATATTACAGAAAATTGTATACTTTAAAATTATATTAGATCCTGTTACTATAATACCAATAACACATCTGAATTTTTAATCCTTAAATGTTTATTAATTGAATTATTATTTATTATACTATAATTTAATACTAATATTATCAAATGAATAAAAATAGTTTCACTTTTTATATTTTAATTTATATTAATAAAAAAACAAAAATATATATGCATATCCATTTCATTACACCACTTCAATTATTATTAAATATGTACACAATATTTAAATACACAATGTAGGTTGTCAGTTCTAATAATAGTTTCAAATTATTCAAAATGGTTTACAAAACTAGACTTGTTCCACTTTTCTTTATATTTTCTTTATATATGTCCGAAGGTAAACTTACTGAATTCAAATTTGTCGATTAATCGGACGTAGATGTACACGAGACAAGAGTTCAGCAAGGACTAGATGCTGAAGACCGATCACGAATCGTGGAGTAACGTCGAGCTCCGATTTTTAACACAGACTGAAACACAGCTACGTTTACGCGATCCTTTACATACGCGCATGGTGTGTAGCCTCGGCTTTACTAATGTCGTGACGTCTCTGTAGTAGTATAGCGTCTCTCAAACCGTTTTGTCCAACCTTCAAAAGAAGAGACAGTGATTTGTTAAAAATCATATAAAAATACACAAATTTTTCATTGATATTTATCAATTTTTATTCTATTTTAAACTTACTCAATCTTTGAATAATGAATTTTATGTTAATTAACTTTTAGTAAGATATTATTTGTTTTCATTTGAGATACCATACAATCGAAACTCTCACTTGGTACTTCATCAAAGTATAAAAACTATTACTATTATGCTTTTTATTAATTCACTGTTTTGTGATTGAAGATGACAATTTATTGCTTTTTTCTTTCGTCATTTTAAATTGTTTGTTCTTTGAAGAATACGCAATTTCCTTTTTATTCGTAAAATTATGAACGCAGAAAATGTAATTGAATGATATAGAAATTGCGGTTTCGATGTATCATTGATATAATATCGTGTTCAGTTGAGAATTGGACTGAAAGATTGGGAAGCACTGGGAATGCGATCAGGTTCATTCAAGTTAATGGTCGGGCGTTGGTTTCCATGAAAGAGAATATCGAGCTTTACTTAACCTTGTTAGATGCTTCTTAATGACCGTTTACCACGCATTACTTTGAGTACTAAATTAATGTTACAAATTGCGTAGATTATACATTTTTTATGATGCGTCATTTGAAATACAATTCATTTCTTTTCTAAAACATTATTCATTTATCTGTCATTAAATGTGATTCATTTTTCTCTTATGCATGCGTCAATAACATTGTTATTGGTTATCTCATGTGATTCATATATGAGCCGTTCGTAAGTCAAGGTGATTAACTCCACTTTTTGAATTTTTTAAGATTATGGTGTCAAATTACTCGATGCTTAACTTTCTACGTTTAAAATAATTATCTCCTTTTTCTTCTTTATAGTTAATTGATTTAGTAAATGACAGTAAACGTTATATATTTTGAAAACCCTGTTTAAAAAATAAAATAAAATTAGAATATTCACGGTACATTCAAATTAAGTTGATATTAATTTTAATTGAGAAGCAATTAAATCTTTTACCCAAAATTCAATAATTAAATCCTCGAAATTAAACATTAAATAAATAATAAATAATTTTAAGAATACAGAAATTGTTGAGAATTCAATTATTCTCGAACTGTCAAGGTTACAAGTTTTAAACCATTACGAAATATTTAAAAATTATACCTTTAAACTCCGCAATAAATTTCTTCGAAAAAGTCAATTAAAGAAAATAACATTTCAAGAATTTTATTATCGCGTTGATCGATGATAATCTCTTAAATCCTCAAACAACTCTTTCCGTTATCTCTTACGTCGATCCTACGTACTCTGAAATGACATCATATTGCCGATTGCTCGGTAACGTCATACAGTTTCACTCGGTGCACAGCGTCAAGAAAATCGCATACTTGCATTGGTGGAATTTACGATGGTAAACTACGAGAGCACATGTATTGCGTCATTTTCTTTAATAGATATTATCGAAGAGCACAAGAGACATCACGACCATGCAAGAATACAAGTCAAAACATTCGACGCCATGTTTCTTATTTTCGTTCCCTCCTTTTCTATTGTTAGCATTTTTCACTCTAATTTTTTTCCTAACCATTCCTTTGTCATCATACTTCGCGTTTCTACTTAGCGTGTTGTATCATCAAGTGTAATTTCATCTTCTCCTTTCTTCTAACAATTCTGTTGATGATCTTTAGGTTACGTATAAATTGTGGTTCGTGAGAAATTATATCATAATAAAACCGTTCTACAGAAAATGATGAAATTTTCATTTTTACCATATGTGTTACGAATATTTCGTAAATAACGTTTCTCTTCAGTCACACGCGATTAAGATAGAACTGTTTAAATCATACTATGACATAGAAGCAAGGGTTAATATTAGAGATGTGTCTCTTAAACATGAATCATTTTTCTTACTCAATTGCTATTAAGTATTGTAATTTTCTTCAATCCTTGAAAAAAGGTTACTTCTATACAATTAAAATAGCTCTTATCTTATATAACTTCATCTATTTTTATTTCATTTATTTTTTATTCTATGCTCATCCAACGCTAAAGGCATTAGAACACAAGGATTATGAAAGTATTTGAAGAATTATTATATATTTAAAAAATATAATTGACAAAGAAACGTTTCCATGTTTAGATTATACTGTTATTGCGTCTTTCTAAAACCAGTATAGTAATCGAATATAATACGTAATATAATACGTACTTTGAGTTTTTCAAGATTAATATTTCATTTCACTACAACACAAAATTCCATACTAGGCCTATTCTGTACTTCATTTATGGTATTACTGAAATATCGATCTCAAAAATTCGTGATATCCTCCGCCATCTATGATTCAGAACAGTAATCTCAAGAATTGCTGGTAAAGTTTCAAATATGAAATGAGAAGATAGAAAATAAATAAACACCATAGACGAAATGGAACATAGATATATCTTCAGAAACAAGATATATATGTATCATCAAATGCATATTTTTGTTTTATGTCAAAACACAGGGCGCTCGTCTATGCTCGGAAACAATAGTCTCCTTGCCATTTTGATATCATTTCCAACATTATCGG